AGAATAATGCTGACCTGGATGAAGAGTGCTATAAACTGAAAATGCCATAGAAATCACGTTTGCCAATTTATGTCCATGCAATTTAGAATGACAACTAGCGAAGGCAGTGTCATTCATGACTTGTTCAGATTTAGTACAATGTGTTGTACATATGCAGGTGCATTTCGGTCATGATCTGCTTTGAATGTATATGTCACTCAAATATGAACGGAACGGGGACGTGTCATTGACAATGACTTGTTGTTCCAGTAAAATAATGTATTAGTTTGATTATTTAAGCATATAAAATTATCATCACTTATAAGTTTTCCTTTAATTTTACTGTGATTTACTCATAAAAATGAAACTAGACAATGATCTGAGGTAATTTATATGATAGATTTTAAATAGATAACTGTTTTGCTGCACTCTTTTGTTTTAAAGTAGTAGTTGGGTGGTGATACTTCCACCGAAGTCGCCTATTTTGTTATTTGAGCAAAGATTTATTACCTGACTGAAAATATGGTTTTAAACATCAGATTAAAAGAAACTCTGTAATCAACAGGCTTGCCTGGGTCAATATTCAGTTAAGTGTTATGCCCACGAATTATACATGATACATAATATCACGTCTGAATAACTGGATAACTGCTTAGGCGGCGTCACAATTTATTGTGTGTTGTCGAAATACTCCAAATTTCATTATTCTGAATTTCTGGTTGGATTTAATAATGCTAACACTAACCTTACATCATAATTGTGTTGCAACACAGGACCACTTAGTTTCTTATTGTCCGTCTTGGGTGTAAATTGTCATTTCGATATGTTGATTAGTGGTCGCGAAATTACAATAGATTTGTTAGTGATCATCCTCACTCATATTATGCATTTAAAGCGGGTTCTTTGTTTAGTTGTTGGTCAAATACATGTTAAACGTTAGAATAACTGAAATAGCTTAAATAGCCTTAATATTTCGGGTGTACACAATACACACTAATAACGTTACCGCCCCTAAGTTATACTTTTCATGATGTGTTGGACACCATTCTGGGACATACACTATATGGCTGCCCTAAACGTATCTTATTGCAGTACATCTTTGTTGAGTTAACTGAATTAGTGCTTCAATCCGGTCATATACATTCTTTAAAGATAATTTTCGGAAAACATTATGCGCAATTTATAAATAGATTGTTATTAATTATTGTAATTAGTAGTGGCAACTTTGCAAGGCTTTATCCGTGAAACACACCCCTGGCAGCCACAGACACACCCCTGGCAGCCACATGATCGTGCCATTGACTGCAGCGATTGGATGATCGCATGTTTACTCTGTCACGCCTTAGAGACCTGACTTTATAACCTTTCGTAATTAGTTAGAAATGTTATACCATGGCGTTGTCGTGGACGAGGGCTCTTGAGTATTGTTTATGTTGCCTTTTTAAAGCTGGTAAATAATTTTATGTTTTAAAAGCGAAACCTTGCCGAAACCTTTTCAACTAATACACTTGAAATATGCGAACCCCTAACCAACCAGAACACAAAACTGTGTATTGCACTAGTTTTTTGTGCAAATAACAACACTTCGTTAGTAGGAGAGTAATATCCCACACCCTCAAGTATCCTTAAACTGCGCAATGCCACACTATGGATTTGAAGTAAAAGAAAATTTTCGTTGGAATATATATGACAAACAGGGAATCGTCATCGTGTTTTGGTTTGTGTTTATTTGAAAAGAAATTGCTTACAGAATCGCAGAAAGAATAATTTAAATTTGTCAATATTTAGATTTGCATTGTTACAGAATGTATATAGTCTTATTGGACAGCTCAGAACAAGCGTTATGTCGATAATAAATGGTCATGCTATTTCATTTAAACAAAAAAGATCACTTGTGTGATTTTAGTACATAAGATAAGATTCAGAATAGCTAATTTTAATATTTTGAAATGTATATAGGCAATTACCATGCCGGACAGGTTACAAAACAGCTTATATGTGTAATGGTATGCATGTAAAACGTATCATAGACTTTTTAGCTGGTTTTGAGAGTTAGCTGAAAAAACATAAACAACATGGTAGGTTAGTTGTGAGCTAAATAAAACGTGTAGTCAATTCGCTTAATTACAGTTTGAATTAGTACTATAAGTCAAACAGCGATAAAACACACATTTATGAAAATGTAATAACTTAAAGCTGTTCTACGCCACGTCACTGTACAAATAAACAAGATTGTAATGCATTTTCAGATTAAAGGAATTTTCACTTTAATGCTGAAATTTGGGTCACGCGGAAATTTATACCAACTCCACCAATAACACATGTTATTTTCAAACAACGCCAACGGATCAGAAAATAAAATACTTTGAGATTCCCTGCGATATGCACTGTATTTCTTATTACCACCACGATTATGATAAACCGAACTGTCTGGACAGAACGCGCTCTTAGCCTTTCCTATCGTGTCTATCCACGCCTCTTCATGAGCAGCCTGTACAATCTGTGGATAAGCACCGATTTTACGGAGAACTGCTGTTTTTGCCATGAAAAAGAACATGAACATTTCTCCCCACCCACACTGTGGATATCCAGGTACAAGGTTATTATGTTTGAAAAATGAACCCATATTACAATAACCCTGTGTATCGTTATACCCTATACTTCTAAACCCCTTAAGTATTCCCAAGTTCTTGACCTCACCACAATTTATATCCATGTCAATATTAGGATCTTCGAGTTTTTCCATCATTATTTCAAGATTGGTCTCGCTCGTAAAGAACATATCATCATCTAAAAACACAACGTATTTTGTTCTGACCTGACTCAGGGCAAGGTTTCTTCCTGGAAAACTTCCTTCCCTGAAAGGCATGACAAAGTATTTAACATGGTCCTTTTTGATCGGTTTTGGAAATTCGGAGTCATCTGCAATTATTATTGATATATTTGGATAGTATTTGTGAACACTAGCAACAAACTGTTCAATAACATCCGGTCTTTCAAATGTTTTAGTGATGACTGTGACTTTATCGATGACTGAATTTCTTTCACCAGGATCATACAGATCTGGCAATGGTTCCCTCCGAATGCGTACGTAGATATCAGCTGTGAAATTCAGTAATGTGATTTGTAATTGATCACGGGCATCAAGCTCATAGTTATCACTTGTATACAGAATATTAGTGTCCAGAATTGTGTTTAGAAGCTCTATATTTTGCTTTAAATTAATTTTCAATTCAAATGTCCTTTCACCGGATATGACGTGGTTTGCTAACATCATAGGATTTATCAATTTGCTTAAATGGAGTTTTCCCATTTTCTTTGTTGAGGATATTTGTAGAGTAATATCTGTGTTCAAGTTTGGTAGCATTTGTTCTACAATTGGATGAAGTGACAATCCAACGATGGGCACTGTTTGATACGGCTCCACGGTGATACCGCCTCCGATATAATTAAATGGTGACATGGCTTTGCAGATAGACAGTGGTTCCAGTCGTTTGTTCTTCTCAAATTCCCACTTCCTTCCTTCTTCAATTCGTCTTTCATTGACAGGTTTCAACCAGTATGGTGGCTTCGGACAGTTACACCTTAATCGTGTAATCTGCATCATTTCACGCAACGCGTTTTGATCCTCAACTGGAGTATATTTGTCCATATGGTATGAAGCTGAATTAAATGTGTTGTACTTCCGCGTTGTTATAACCGTATGATTTTCACATCTCATAGCAGAATACGTCTCTACCGTCCTTAGCATAGATTGCGACGTCTTTTCTTTTACTACAACAACTACATACACCACGAACACTGTCGGTAAAATAAATTTGAGAAGAACTGTGGAAATTCTGTTCGTCAATCCGCCACATGACACCATGTTTTCGTTCGATTAAGCTCTTTGGTTGACTGCGGGGTTACAGTATTGTGTATGGGCGTGATTAATACCTGTCCCAGTATGAATGATACGTAGTATTTGCATACAATTACGGTCTCATTTACTTGCTGCAAAGTTACCTCTTCCTTCACGACACTAACATGAATTACCGCACTACAGATCACGTCCACATCCCATAAACTATAATCGATGAGCAGTGTTCATTTTTGTCAAATAACAAATATGGACACATTGTATTTATCAGCTATAGCAATGGTGGCAGTATTGTGCTGCCACTAGCGGCAATATATGGAAACAACAACCACAGGGTCCACATAATATTGGCTCGTTCCCGCTTCAAGTGTCATGGCTCACCAAACCATACAACGCTGGTAACTAGTAATTGTTAAGGCATTCTCATAGATTCATCAAGTTATTCATCAAATTCTTATTCTTCCTTCTAGTCCCCGTGGTTATCTGACGTCAGTGCACACGCTACGTATTGTCGTTCTATATGTGAACAAGGGGGTTTCTTTTACTCTCGTGACATAAAACTGTTTTTTGTTGTTACACAAATAGCGAGAAACGCCAGAACCATCTCAAATAGGAGGTCCAAGCAAGCAGGGTGAATGGGCATGAATTTAGTGTAGTATTACAGACACGTTTACGCAGAACTGAACTTGGAATGTTTCCGAATAATTCGATTAATCTGTAGGCCTTTCTATGTTTTAATGTTGCATACTTTCACATTTTTTAATGTGTCATACATATAACACGAGTGTATTGGTGTAATATTAAAGAGGAAAAAAATGGATACATACAAAACAAAATTCAAAAGAATTAATTACAATTGACAAACGTATTGAATACGGAAAACCTGAAAATGGATACAGAATCGCATAAAAAATAATATAAACCAAATATAATGTGGTGCTAAGTTGTCACTAATTAAGTATGTATTATTACATAATGTATCTAGTAATATTTTACGACTAAGTACTGCAGATATATCAATAATATATGGTTGTGCTAAGTTATGTAAGATAACTAATGAATATCAGGTTCTAGCAAATTAGATAAGATTTAGACTGAATAATTATAATTTTTGAGATGTATTTAGGCTAATATTACCTCATGGTAAGAATTCACTTATATATGTGATACAGCATAGTTGTAATTTGCCTTGATATTTTACCCCCCCCCCCCCACCAGAAAAAAAACAACAACACATCACCATAGTGTATTTTTAAGCTGGTGCTGTAGTGTTCGCAAATTTAGATTTCATAAAAACAATATGGTTTAGTTACAGATAACTGGACTACATGTAACCGAGAGTCCAATAAATGGTGCTATCCGACAACACGGCGACAAAAACGCTATAACGTATGAGAATACTAATGGTTGTTTTGTGCCATATCACAGTACGATAACCGGACAGGCGTACACATAAACAAGATTGCCGTGTATTCTCAGGTTAAAGGATTTTCCACTTTAATGCTAAAATTTGGGACACGCGGAAATTTATACCAACTCCACCAATAACACATATTATTTTCAAACAACGCCAACGGATCAGAAAATAAAATACTTTGGGATTCTCTGCGATATGCACTGTATTTCTTATTACGACCACGAATATGATAAACCGAACTGTCTGGACAGAACGCGCACTTCGCCTTTCCTATTGCGTCTATCCACGCCTCTTCATGAGCAGCCTGTACAATCTGTGGATAAGCACCGATTTTACGGAGAACTGCTGTTTTTGCCATGAAAAAGAACATGAACATTTCTCCCCACCCACACTGTGGATATCCAGGTACAAGGTTATTATGTTTAAAAAATGCACCCATATTACAATAACCCTGTGTATCGTTATACCCTATACTTCTAAACCCCTTAAGTATCCCCAAGTTCTTGACCTCACCACAATTTATGTCCATGTCAATATTAGGATCTTCGAGTTTTTCCATCATTATTTCAAGATTGGTCTCGCTCGTAAAGAACATATCATCATCTAAAAACACAACGTATTTTGTTCTGACCTGACTCAGGGCAAGGTTTCTTCCTGGAAAACTTCCTTCTCTGAAAGGCATGACAAAGTATTTAACATGGTCCTTTTTGATCGGTTTTGGAAATTCGGAGTCATCTGCAATTATTAGTGATATATTTGGGTAGTATTTATGAACACTAGCAACAAACTGTTCAATAACATCCGGTCTTTCAAATGTTTTAGTGATGACTGTGACTTTATCGATGACTGAATTTCTCTCACCAGGATCATACAGATCTGGCAATGGTTCCCTCCGAATGCGAACATAGATATCAGCTGTAAAATTCAGTAATGTGATTTGTAATTTATCACGGGCATCAAGCTCATAGTTATCACTGGAGTAAAGAATTTTGTTGTCCAGAATTGCTTTCAAGAGCTCTATATTTTGCTTCAAATTAATTCTCAATTCAAATGCCTTTTCACCGGAAATGACGTAGTTTTCTAACATCATTGGAGTTATCAATTTACTTAAATGGAGTTTTCCCATTTTCTTTGTTGAGGATATTTGTAGAGTAATATTTGTGTTCAAGTTTGGTAACATTTGTTCTACAATTGGATGAAGTGACAATCCAACGATGGGCACTGTTTGATACGGCTCCACGGTGATACCACCTCCAATATAATTAAATGGTGACATGGCTTTGCAGATAGACAGTGGTTCCAGTCGTTTGTTCTTCTCAAATTCCCACTTCTTTCCTTCTTCAATTCGTCTTTCATTGACAGGTTTCAACCAGTATGGTGGCTTCGGACAGTTACACCTTAATCGAGTAATCTGCATCATTTCCCGCAACGTGTTTTGATCCTCAACTGGAGTGTATTTGTCAATATGGTCTGAAACTGAGTTGATTGAGTTGTACTCACGAATTGCACCTACAACATTTTCACAGCTCATGGCAGAATACGTCTCTACCGTCCCTAACGACGCCCATTGTTTCACTGTAACAACTACATACACCATAAACACTGTCGGTAAAATGAATTTGAGAAGAACTGTTGAAATCGTATTCATCAATCCGCCACATGACACCATGTTATCGTTCGGTTGAGATCCTTTGTTGACTGCGGGGTTACACTATTGTGTACATGCGTGATATAATATATAATAATATATAATATGAACAATACGTAATACGTACACATTACTTGCATACAATTACGGGCTCATTTACATGCTCAAAGTTACCTCCGGCGTTCACCACACTAAAATAATTACCGCGCTACAGATCACGTCCGCGGAACTTAAGCCACACTCGATGAACAGTGTCCATTGTTGTCAAATAACAAATAAGGGCACATTTTATTTATTAGACATTGCAAAAGTGGTTGTATTGTGCCGCCATCAACGGCAGTAGGTTGAAATAACAAGAACAGGGTATAGATAATACTGGTGTATATAAAGTGAATTCTCAAGAGAGCATAAAATATGTTTATCGAATGCAATATCAACATGTTTAGTGCTCTAAGTTGCCAAATTCTTTTTGTGCAATATCATTTCTTTCTTTCTCAAAAATGCATACATAATGTCTAACAGCTGATTTTGACACATCAAGGCTTCTCTATGTTTTAATGTTGCATACTTTCACGTTTCTTGATATGGTATGCATATGACATAATTAATTGCATTGGTATAAATTAAAGAACAATGGATATAATTGAATAGAAATATTTCTCATGTGTACATATGATGTTGAAACCTTCCCTAATTAATCTGCAAATGTCTTTGTCCCCCCAATTCTCGTCTATATCTCCATATCCCAAAACTCTGATCCTCTCGTTATTTTTTTGAAAGTCTTAGCACATCCCGCTTCGCATGTGACACCCATCTTACATCGTTCTGATTCAAAATCAAATGGTCGCTGCGGTAACCCTAGTACCACTATTACCAATTCACTGCAAGATTCAAAATAGCGAATGAGCTGAAAAATGTATGAGCGGGATTAGGCCGTGAAGTTAAGTTAATTGTGATTATTTTGATCAATCAATCTGTTAAAAACCGACTTTTATTGTACAAATCATGATACATCATAAATCATGAAACACAACAATGACATTTCGCAGTCTCCTTAATCTCAAGTTCATAGTATATATTATAAATCATTAAGTTCCGGATTTTTGATTAAAAGTACATTGTCAATATATCTGAATGTGAACTTAAAAGATTCTTTGCAACTAATTCCTGGTTGCATCTGGTTCTTAATAATACAGGTATATAGGTATAACCGTATTATACCACAGTGTATATATTTGTAACGAATGCACCAATTGTTATTAACAATCTTAAACTAGAGTATGACATGATATTTAGTCGTCTGTTGAAACCTTGTATTGCTGCCGTCCCTTTGAAAAGTGACAAACCCGTCGCATATTCTTATTAACGAAGTCGATACAGATTTCAAAATTGTAACTGTATTTGATATCTTGAGGTTGTCTAAATTTGGACCACATGATATAATATCGGATATCATGTGATAAAATGATTACCATGGCAAAGAATATTCTACAGTGAAGTTATGTGATGCTGTTTTATAGTTTAATACATTGATGGACATTTTTTCCTGCATAATCTGGTATACAACCAAGGGGTGCTTTAGAAAGATGTTTTGGAAAGAGTGCGCAGATTATAATGCGCTCTATGTGGTACCATATATCATTATGAGTATTAATCAAATGTCGGAAATATGAAGTCTGAACCGGAAAGTACCGTTGACTTGTCAGAGTGTGTCGCACACGACTTATTTACCACTTCCGTGTCACTGAGAATGTTCTAGAACCGTACTGTGTCTGGGTGGAACACTGTAGGAGGCAATAGAAGGTAATGGAACATTCTAGAAGTTTGTAGTAAGTGCCAGACTCATTATGTATGCTGATGTAATGGTTTATTTATAGACAGTGGAGGTATATATAGGGGAGTTGTTCAGCACTGAGTTCAGATCGGAGATCTCATTGAATTGTT